TCTCTCCCTGCCTGGCAGCTTGAATAGTGGTTTTGGATAGTCTAGACTGCAGGAAGGAGGCTTTCAGGTCAGGTCCAGCTTTACTCATCCTTGTCTTGTGTCCTGAGTGTATGATGTCTTCAGCATCAGAGGCCATCTCCAGCCCCTGAGAGGCAGCCAAGCGCTGCAGTGCTAATCTATACTGCTTTGGGAATCACTTAGATGACTTTGACCAGCCATTCAGAAGGAGGTTTCTCATGCCTCGTACTGAAGTTTTTACGAGCCTATGGTTCTTGTGGGGAGCATTATCAGTCCAAGTGGCTTAATTTTCTTTAAACTCTGTGTGTGTGTGTTTGTAGATATCTATCCACTTATATGTACTGTGCATAATTTAAGTTGATATAAAATACTATGACTTCATGAGACTGTATCAAGCAACCTTGGTGTTGTTAAACCCTGTGCTCCTTGACATCCCTGTGTCCTCTCCAGCTGGAACCCCAGCCCCAATTTTCTTTCTTTCTTTCTTTCTCTCTTTCTTTCTTTCTTTCTTTCTTTCTTTCTCTCTCTCTCTCTCTCTCTCTCTCTCTCTCTCTCTCTTTCTTTCTTTCTTTCTTTCTTTCTTTCTTTCTTTCTTTTTTTCTCTTACTTCATATCACCAGTGTCCTGCCATTCCCCTTCTAACCACCCCTCACCATGGTCCCTTTATACCTTCCTGGCTTCTGCAATTCCTTCATGCTGTATATTCACATCGAGGAATTGGAGCTAGAAACTGCAGATGAGAGAGAACATGTAGTGCTTGTCTTTCTGGGTTGGTTTGCTTCACTCAATGTAATCTTTTCTAGGTCCATCCATTAACTCGCAAATTTAGTGACTTTGTTTTTTTTAAAGATTTATTTATGTATTATGTATACATCTTTCTGCTTGCATGTGTGCCTGCAGGCCAGAAGAGGGCACCAGATCTCATTATAGATGGTTACGAGCCACCATGTAGTTGCTGAGAATTGAACTCAGGACCTCTGGAAGAGCAGCCAGTGCTCTTAAATTCTGAGCCATCTCTCTAGCCTGATTTCACATTTCTGTATAATTGAACAGCATTGCACTGTGTATGCCTCTTAACGGGAGGGAAATAATGCCTGGTACTGAAACCTAGCCAGCTTCCTGGGGCTGGTGAAGTCATGGCCTTAGGAAAGCATCTACTGTTGCTGTTTTTTCTAGAGCAGCACAATTCCTTTATATTCTAAATCTTATCCTTATACTCAGAGATAAGTGGAGCTACTGACCATCACTAAAGCAGCCTCTTCTTGCAGCAAATGGAGACTGTAAGTGAAAACCACAGCTGGGCACAATGCAGAGATCAACAGATCATAGGGAGTCCAGTGCCAGTGGATACAGCTGTATCATAACTCTCCAGTGGATACACCTGTATCATAACTTCTGCACATATGGATTGTGGGGGCTGCAGCCCCAGTGGATACAGCTGTATCATAACTCCTGCAGCTGTGCCTCAGGAATGTGTAGGAAGAGAGGGGCAAAAAGATTGTAAGAGCAGAATTCCAGGAAGCCTGCTGAGAAAGATTTTCTCCTGGAAATGGCTGCATAAGCTTGGGTAGAGCAAAGGCAAGATCAGTGGACACAATAATGTGGAAGAGGAAGTTTGTGGGGTTCCACTTGGGCAACTAATGGCTGTTGGCAAAGGGGAATTAGTTTCTCCAGGGGTAAGCCCCCTTGTTAGTTGTCCACTGCAGAGTGGTCAGCCCTAAAACTATATAACACAACAACAAAAGTGGACTCAGCAGTTTGTATTTATATATTTTCACACACATACGTGCACACATGCATGCACACTGCACACTCACAACGTACACACAGATACCGGGCCTCTAAACTTTCCTAATGGGGAAGGAACTCTGCAGAGAGACTGCATTGAATTGACAGGATTTCCAGGCAGCCTCCAGTAGACAAAAGCAGATTATATTCTGTCCCTCTCTTCTGGTCTGAGAAATGTAAACTATGGTCTGAAAAGAAATGGTAGGGTCAAAAATCAAACCAGGTTTCTTGAAGTTTTATAGGAAGACTTGAATGTATTAGCTGGAGAGCAAATGATGCAGTGAAGTCAAGACAGAAAATGAACATGATAAGATGGTTATTTGGTTTGTAAGAATCCTAAGTGTGTTCAGTGTAACACCATTCCTCTGAAGCTCCAGTCAGAGCCATCTTCCATGATGCAGAGGGACCCAGACTAACAGGAAAGCTGAAAGGCTGGACAAAGAGCTCAAATGCTCTTTTGAACAGCAACAAAAATCATTACAACCAATTGTTTTAGAGCTCTGGAAATTAACTGAGGGTTTCTCAACAATTTAAATAGCATTTAGTCAATAAAAAAAATTGAAATCTAGGTAAAAACAGTAACCATGGTGTTTTAAGTTGCTTGTTCCTATCTTCCTCTCCCAAGCTTCGTGGGACATTTGAAAGCAGACAGCTTCACAGGGCAGCTGAGGACAACAGAAGCCTTGAGACCTCTGGTACAGACAGGACAGGCTCATGCTCTCTGTGAATTCCCGCTTGGGGAGCTGACACTGTGAACTGCCTTGCAGTTCTCTGGAAGAGCTCCATTCAGGAAGATTTTCCCATTTAGAATGGTTCAGAGATTAATTTAGGAGAGCACAAATATACTGAGGGCATTTGTGTAGTTCAGTGGTAGGAAACTCAACCAACCAACCAACCAACCAACCAACCAACTAACCAATCAAAAAACCAACCAATCAACCAACCAACCAATCAACCCCCTACTCACCCAACTAACCAAACACCCTCCCATCCAACCAAACACCCACCTAC